CAGTATGCTGGCCATTCTCCCTATGATACTTTGCGTACTATATTAGCCTCATTTTCCCCCTCAAATCCCTGAACTTGCTGCATTAAATAATAGTGCCTGCAAGTGGGTTTCCACCCATGTTTTTAGGGATGCAAGCAGAACTTCTCATTTGACTGGTCAACAGGTATAAATACTTCACTAGTAAGGAGAGTGTCCATACTCAGCTTTCATAATGAGATGCCTTTCTTTAGGTATTTATGTTTGGAATAGTTCCTAATTTCTATCTGGCCATTATGTTGACACAAATAAGAGAGATGGGCCTCATGCCTCACCCACAGCAACTTAATATGTACAAGCTCCACCGTCAACATCCTCTATTTCTCTGCATTAAATAGAATACAGAAAAATACAAGTAGAAGCCTTTTGGGAAACTGAGAACATTGCTAAAGCATGGTACCTCCCTTCTTATTTATGCATTTATTTATTTTCTCACTTATTTACTATACTTGTATGCTGCCCATCCCTGAAGGCGCAAGGCAGATAAGCATAAACGATTAACGCCCCCGCCCCCCAACTCCAAGTACGTACAAAACCAAAAACTATATAAATAAGCTATGGGAGCTGCAGACTCCACTTGGATATTATAAAGCAACCTTCTCCCGTGTTATCCAGAAGAGAGAAGTTTTTGCAAGTTTCCTAAAGAACGGGCTGGGGATGGTGGCGAAGTAGATTGAAGTTTTCCTCATGGGGAAATGGTGTTGCTGTTGGGAGAAGTCCACTTCCAAGGCCCTGTCAGATGATAATGCTGCAGGAATGGGACCTGGAGATAGTTGACTCTGTGAGATCTGACGAATACCAGAGCAGAAGGTCTCTCAGAGAAAGGTAGTAACTAGCACCTTGAATTTCACTTGGAAGCCCACTGGCAACCACTGGAACTCCCAAAACAGGAGGGTCACCTGAGTATATAGCGTACACGCTTCACTGCCCAGGGTGCCATATTCTGTACCAGCTGTAGTATCCAGATATTCTTTAAAAGCAGTCCCATGTAGAGTGCATTACAATAATCCAACTGGAAGGTGACTAAGGCATGAGTGATAACGAGAAGGGCCTCCCAATCAAAGGGTGGTTGCAATTGTCTTACCAGATTGATGTCAGCCCCACTAGGTGAACCAGACCAGGCAATCAATTCCACAGAAAAGCTAAAGCTACTTTTATTGAGATTGGCTATAACAACAGAATCTTGCAAGTCTGATTGTGCTGAACCTCCTCCTCCTCCTTATAGGAGGCCTCATTCACTTCCAAATATTATGTCACCATTCTGGGCTTAGAAAATGCTTTACCCCTCTTTGCCTGGGCAACGGCTCCTACATATCTCTGCCCAGGTCATTTTCCTTACTCTCTACAATATAATTGCGGAAAGGCTGTCCTAATCACAACTGTCACCTATTCTACAAGCAAGACTCAGGAGTCTAGAACTCCAAAATTGTGGAGCATCTCTGAGCAAGTGAGTATAACCCTATTCAGAGACAAAGGTAGTATTTCCTTTGTATCATTAGGCCCATAAACCCAGAGCCACTCCATCTTGGAGGGGTACAACCTTAGTCTGTTCCTCCCCATGCAGACTCTGACTTCCTCCAGGTACAAGTCAAAACTTCCATTGTATTGTTTCTTTGGCTCAGGGCTGAGATATATAGGTGGGTATCATCAGGATATTGATAATACCTAAACCAGGGCTGATGAATGGCCTCTCCCAGTGGTTTCATGTAGATGCTGAAAAGAAATGGGAAGGGATCCCTGAGGCACACTACAAAGTAGAGATCTCCAGGTAAATCTCTGTTTTTCCACCACAATCAACTGGAATTGCCCCTTCAGTAAGGAGGAGAACCATTATAAAACAATGTCCCCCACTCCAGTCCCTTGAAGGTAATCCAGAAGGATGCCATGGATGGTAGTGTTGAAAGCCACCAAGAGATCAAGGGGGACCAGGATGATTGTACTCCCCCAATCCTGGTCTCTGCAAAGGTCATCAACAAGCATGTCTCAAATTGTTTAGGACTGTTGGATCCAATGAAGACTTCTAGAGCAGGAGATATACCATAGCTTCCTTCAGAGGAGAAGGAAATGCCCCCTTACCCAAAGAAACATTGACACCCATTTGAATCTAATCTCCTGTCACCTCAGTAGAGCCCTTGACCAGCCATGAGAACCAAGGAACCAACCGAGAGGGTGGAACTTACACTACAGAGGGCCCTATCCATTTCTCAGGGACTAACAGACTCAAAAGAATCCCATATTACAAGATGGAGTCCTGTTATCTCCATGGATAATGTCCAGGCTCCAATTTCTCCCAAATGCAAATATAAATTCACGATGAGTCTGGCATACACAGCTCCATCCTGCTTATTTATTATATCATATTACTGTATGTCCAGAAATAAAATCTGTATGTAGAAATGTGCTTATATTAGAAGTTTCATTTTACTTGTTGATTACCTCATCAAAAAATAACTTTTAAAGTGCTAATGCTAGTATCTTCCAAACTGGGTACTAGCTACACTAGTCTTCCATGAGGAAATTCATGAAGCCCAATCTCTAATTTGTGGAAGACCATAGACTTTTGCAAACCTCCTTTTCAAGATCAGCAAGGATAATCTGCCATCAGAGGCCTTCTTGTTGACTCTAGCAAAACCTAAGCAGCTGGTGGGTTTCTAAAAGTAGGATTGAGGAAAGAAGGAACATTACAAGGTAGATTCAAGGAAGTCTTGGAGCCACAGGATTTAAACACTTACTCCCTCCTTGTCCAGAAAAATAGGAAACAAGTTATGCTAAGGGGACTTTCCTCTGCCTTGGGTTTGATGCAATAGTTCCTCTGCTACCTATGTTGTCTGACTGCTCTACAATGTTACACTGTTCGGCTAGTGTAATAATTCAATAGAATGATTCAAGGCTTATGTAAGCCAAATACTTACACAAATAAATACAACAGGAGGTTTCTATGTATGTTTCTGAATTATCTACTACTCTGGTTGTGCCTCCTTCAAGTTGAATGTTATTTACTGTAAAAATAATCACCTTGAGAAGTTTTAACCTATGAGAAGCATGACCCCAATATCAACTCAGGGGGAAAAAAAAAGCTGAGTTTTACTTATTGGAAGTTTGGGAAACACTATTATATATAACAGAATGGGCAGAAGAACCTTTTATTTGTCCTAAGGAAGGATGGTCTACAGCAATGAAGAAATTGATACCAGCTCTCCTGATGTAGCTATTTTAATCCAGAGACAGATGTTGCAAATTATATAGTCATCCAAAACAGCTGCAATGTTTTGTCTCTTGTATACAGAAATAATTTCTTTGTTCTGGTACTATTGCACTAGATCTAGAAGTATCTGTAATATAGGCTAGGGCTGACCAATATGTTGCTGACTAAGGTGAAGGTGATGCCTCTTCCTATGCTATATGGAAAAATAAATTGGATCTCATGTATACAATAGCAGTGGGGCAATGCACTCTGCCATAGAGGAGGCAGTAGATAAGCAAGGAAAATGATATGCCACATTCAGCCTTGAAGTCCTTGTTATTGATTCCTGTCTCCAAGCATCTGATTAAGATGATTCCACGTGATAGAGTTACTTGTCACTTCAGCAAATCTTTGTAACGTCAGGATTCCAGATATTGTTTGGAGTTGCTTTTATAGCTCTACTTTGCAACTAAATAATGTGAATATCTTATATCAGTGCTGCTGCTTTGGTGCATCACATTGAGTGGACCAACTTCAGCAATAAGATTTACAGCATGTGCTTTCAGGTCATTCCTTGGGTCTAACGTTCCTCAGTTTGGTGATTCCACCTTGGAAGTTTAGACAATGAAGTATACCAGCCTTCCCCATCTTACATTCTCCAGATGTTTCTAAGTAAAATTCCCATCAGCCCTACCCTAGCTAGGATCATTGGAGTTAAAGACTACAGCAACCTGAAAAGACCAGGTTGAGAAAATTTACTCTGTGTTCCCTATGTGAAAATATATGGAAATCTCCATTATTATATCAAATAATTTTTTTGATTTACATCAGCACATAATTGATGAGAGATCTCTCATCTACATTTTTGCCAGTCCAAATGAAAATCAGAAAATATAAGCCATTGCATAGCTTAACATGTAGTACATTTTCGGTAAACGAAAGAAATCCTATTAATTCGACGCACCTTCATTGCACTGTTCACTTAAATGAAATGAAAAAAAAAATATTGGGCTTAAAAAAAAGGCAAAATAACTATAAAATGGAAGCATGTTATCAGTCAGTAATTGAAATGTTTAAGAGGGGGAAGATTATAAGTTTAAATAAGCAGCAGTTTAATGCCTACTTCATTAACTCTCCAGGACAGAAAGACTGAAGTTGGCTTGGTGAAATGTTGCATTCACCAACAGAAGTCAGTTTTTTAAAGACAACTTCAGCTGAATGTTATTAAAACGTCACTCGACTAGAGAATTCTAGTATCCCCATATGAAAGAAATAAGATAACTTGGATTGAATAAAACAGAAGAAAATTACTCTGCCCCTCCTTCAATTACCCAATATCTCTAAGCCTAAAAACTGAGTTAAATAAGTAATACTGCAACCATCCAAGTAGAATTAGTTCCTCTTGTAAGTAGGCACCACTATAGACTCATTGCAACTGATATATTTCGGGAAATTGCAAGAATGTTGGCATTGCTTGGTTTACTTAAAGTATTGTTACTATTACTGCACCACGGACTTTATTGAGCAATGAAAAATATACACAAAGGAACAAACTTTTCTTGGGGGTGGAAGGGTACTTTTTTCCCTCAAAATCTGACTTTCTTCCAATTGAAGAACCCCATTTCAAATGAGAAGAGGGCACTTATTTCTACAGTAACTGTGTACATCTTGCTCAGTTTGTTCCAAGTACTGTATTCAGATATTATATATATAATATATTCAGATTTTATATATATTATATATATAATTGTTGTCATTATGCTTCCAAGTTGCTCGGAGAACTAAAATGTTCCATATTTGGGGAATGATCAAGATAATTAAGTTGTTCTTTCAGATTCTATTTCTCCATAAAGTTCAGCTAGCTTCTTGAACTCTGGTCCCCAGTCACCAAGATAATTGTAATCCTGGTCCGAATGTGTAGTAGCTGAATCCAAAGAGCTGATAGATCCCACTTCTGACCTTTGACCTTCATATGCATATGTCTGTAGAGAATCATAAGGGGGCACACTAGGATCAAGGTCTGCTTCTGCCAGCCTTTGCTTAATGAACTCATGAACATCGATCGTGTCAAGACGAGATGAAGTGGGATGCTTGGTTGTGGGCTTCACTTCAGGCCGAACATCCCTCCGGAATTTCAGTTCTTCAGCAGCAGATGGGTTCCGCAGGGCGGTAATATCAAAAGCTTCAGTATCCTCCTCCCCTCCGCCCTCGTCATCATAAGTGACAACATTTTCCCGGACATCCTCCTCTGAAATGACCAGAGGCTCCTTTTTGCTGCGTTTTAATGTGATGAACAGGACCACTATTGCTGAGGAGAAAATCCAGAACAGGGTATTAGTAGGGCTGCCAACTGGTAACTCATTCTAGTTGACAGATTAGCTGCTTTTTAGCAGAGTTATCTATTATTTCATTCATTGATTAGGCTGCAATTAATCTGTGTCCTACCAGTACATCAATATAGCTTCCTTTTTGAGATCATCATAAAGTGTAAGATAAAATAATATCTTCCCATCAACTAATATTATCACAAGATATTCAAGTAGGTTCTGGAATTAGATATTCAGTTTTAGTGCCACAGTAGGGCTATTTAACTATTACTAATAAATACAAGAAAGATAGGATGCTATATTGTTTCTCAGAAAAAAATAGAATGATTTCCTTTTTCTGAGCACACGAAGACCCACAGGATGTAAAACAAAACAAAACCAAACCCCAACTTCCCACACTATTGATTAAATAACCCCCTTCAACCAACCTACAAACACCTTGATTTATGAACATATTAACTGAGATTATTACATTACTAGAAATTAAAATTTGTGGCTGGCAGGAAAAATGAACTCATAGATAGATTGATGCTTGTATTTTACAGAAAGACCTCCTTGTAACAGATAGTATATGCATCTATATCTACGTGATATATGCATATCTACATGCATATCTACAGTATTTGCCTCTAATCGCTCTAATAAGGGGTGACTTTTGCATTAATAACTCGCTAACAGTTCACGCTGTGGAAAAGCTGCATCTTCACAACCTTAAATATGGAGGAAAAGATTACTATTAATCAAGGGTCACATTAAGACCCTCAAATTCCACAAATTCCTCTGGAAAACAAGCATGGTAGGCCCCTTAGACTTTATAGGTGCTATTGACCCCAAACAGCCACACTGGTACCCACACTGGGCATAGAAGGAGTGATGGATTTCAATAGCACATGAGAATATGGAAAAATAGAGATGTTTCTTATCAGAAATCTCCAGTACAGCAATAGAACTTAAGAAATCTGCAGAGAAGAAAAACGTTGTTGTTAATATATTATAGCTATTTGAGAAACATACACTGAACAATTTCTTCATTTTAATAAAGCAGCCTTGCCCAATCTTTCTAAAGACATTGGGATGAGAACTCTCAGAAATAAGAGCCAACTTGGTGGCTAAAATTCTGGGGACTTGCAGCCTGCTCTGCAGGGTAGCAGGCTGAGGAAGGATGACATTTAGTGTTATTGACTTAATTGCATGCAATTAAGAAAAGTGGTATATAGTCATTATATATAAATCCCATTGAGTGTTGCATTTTTTCTTTTTAAAAAAGGACTCTATTCGCAAATGGAGTGAATTTGGGTGAATGGATGGATGGGTGGACAGACAGACAGTGTGAACAGCTGAAATTCAGCTAACTGAGAATATTAGCTAATAGCTACTATTCAAATGAGTCTAAGTATGTAAAGTGTTCAGAGAAAAAGTATTTCCAAGGACATTTATCTAATGGAATGATCTTGCTTCATCTGTCCCTTGCCCCTCTTGATGAGCCTTTGACTGTTATCAGCTCATCCCACAGAGATAATTAGCAAATGGCTTTCCTATTCTCCCTCTCCTTCTTCTGGCAGAGGGATCCATTTCAAAAAGACTCTCTTCATCTCTTTTCTTTTTCCCTGAGAGAATTAGCTTGTAACCTGAGTTGGTGATTTCCTGAAATCTTACCTGGTAGATCGATAATGCTAATTACTTACTGACCTCTGCAAAATTAATTCCACCAGATGCCAGCAGCTCAGCCATTTGTTTTAAAGGTTCCCCTGCCCTATCAATTGAATTCAAGCCTGGATTTATTCATTTTTAAACCACAACCTTGTATTTCTAGCTACCTCCTATCAGAAACAGTTCCTGGTTCAGTGGTTATTTTTCTTAGTCTTTGCACCACATGGTTGCAGGTTGTTTGTTTTTGCACTGCACTCACTTAGGTGTTACACTGAAGCTATTAAGGAGGGATTTTGATTATCAGCTGACGTTGCAGAGTTGGATGCTGAATAGGGCTAAGAGGGAGTGACTGGCCCAAGATTTCTATGCCTAAGGTAGGACTACACCCTGATTCTCCCCACTTCTAGTCCAGGACCTTAACCACTACACCACACTCGCTCTTGCAGTTCCTGGTTCAGTACTACAACACACATTGCTGCTGGGATTATCTGAAGGTTCCAGAAAGGATGCTAACTTGAGGACTTACCCAGGAGAATGACAACACATAGCAGGATGGCAATTAGGGCTCCTGTACTCAATCCAGCAGAGGAGAGGAAAGCTTCTGCATGGCAGGTCCGCACACGGCCATCTCTTTCACATGCGCATACCCGTATGACAAGAGTGGTGCTACTGCTGAGAGGTGGGACCCCTCCATCAGAGATCACAATTGGAAGGTAATACACATCCTGGGTAGTCCGACTAAATCTCCTCCTTCGGGTCAGGATACTGGCCGTATTATCTACAGCAAGGAGGAGGTCAGAGTAGTATTAATAAAGATGATATGTAATCATGCTGAGAATATGCATTTTCTTTTTTTCATTGTCAACACATTGTGGATATCCTGGTAATCCAAATGACACATTCTAGTAAACTCTGGATCTGCCTAGATACGAGAGCCCCATGATGTGTGTTGGGTCACTTTATGGATCCTGGGATGCTGTGAACAAGGAACAAGGCTCACTGAAACCTGAACTTAAAGATTCTGAAGTTCTCTCTGAAGAACTTATGAGTAGCTGTTTCCTTAGCTCAGAGACACAGGACTGAAGAACTGTGTATGTTGAAAGTAAAATGCAGGGAAACTTCCTAAAGCACCTCCTAGACCAGTGTTGTCCAAACTTGGCCACTTTAAGATGCGTGGACTTCAACTCCCAGAATTCCCCAGCCAGTCATGCTGGCTGGGGAATTC